TGAAATAATCGTTTCTCGAGAAACTTTGTGCGTTAACTTTTTTTTACAGCGATTTAACGAGAATGAAGAAAAGAGGAGTAGATACGAAAACGGCAACGGACAAATGGACAACCTTTGCAACAGAGTTGAATGAAAGGTACAACAAAGTGGTCGCTAATGGAAGAAGCATTTTAAGAGAAAGGGGAGTGTAAAAAAAGAACGATACTAATAATATCCTCGAGATTCGACGTCTATGGGCAAGTGTGCACCTTTCAAGAGGAAATAATACAATAAATCTAATATACTTTGCCGAGGAAGTGGCTTTTTTTTTTTTTTTTTTTTTTCTTTATAGAAAAATAAGTACGAAACTGTTAAAAGGCTGCAGCGAATTTGATTTATCTCCCCGTTGATCAACTGACGACGACATTTATTCGTTACAATGGCGAACGATTTGTAAGAGAGAATGAAAAAGAAGAAGAAAGCAAAGAGAACGACAACGAGAATCTGTCGGATGGGCTCGAATCGATTCTTCTAAGAAGTTCATTCATTAATACAGTTTGTAAACTGATTGTCCTTTCGCGTTGAGCGGAATTGAATCCCGGAAGCTCATTTTCATGGGAAATATCTTACCAGGCGGGGGGCAGTTCTTGTTTTGATTGAAATCGAAATCCAATTTCATCCGGTGAGAACGAAACTTGTTTAGCAGCGTAACAAACGATTCCTTCTTCTACTGGCTGTCTTTTAGCTAACACGTTATCCTTTAGCTAGGACACTCACTGCAATATGTATAGTAATTTCAGCTTAAAGAAGCCTCGAGGAACCTGATCGTCAGCTGATCTGGAGGTACGCACTCTTCATCGTCACCGAGAAGCACGTTTACGCTTGATAAACCTAAATTTTATGATTTGCTCAACACTGCTCAGTATTGCTAATTACGTAATTGCTTAATATTTGAAAATACGGTGACAGACACTGAGCACGTATTTCTGCTACGCGATTTGCACGCTACGGAGGAGAAACGTAAATTCACCACCGTAATTCATTATAGGAAATTTGGTTCCTGGCACCGATGGTGAACGTCGCGCCGTGCTTGAATTTCTCTAGCACGCCTTAACGATGCTTTTAATTACTGTAAAGCGGAGCAAACGTTAGATCCCGTACGAAGATAATAAAAGTCAACAAGGTTTCGTCAGACGCAGCCTCGTCAGTGTGACGTACAAGTGTCTACGAAACGGAATATATTTAACAGGCCTGTACTTTGGCGCCTAACTAAGCAAAGTATGGCAACGAGAGTGCACATTGTCTTCGAATAGACGATTCAATTTAAATTTAAAACCGTATATGTAAAGTAGAAATTCTCAAATTTCAGGAGGGAAATTAATGGAAAAAAAAAAAAAACGATCTCTATTTGCAGATTCGGAGCAACTAGACGCGCTACTGGATATATTTGTCTCTTTTGTGACGGTACGTTGTGTTGGAGTTGGCATTTCGATAGCGGAGACCATCGATTTTTTTCCCAACAGCGTCAAATTACAGCTGTCAAGCACAGGATTGAGCCAACTAAAAGCACGCTTTATTAAGCGGTTCATTATCGGGAATTATCGAGTCATGCTCGCAAGATTATCGAAGGCGTGTCTTCCTCTGGTTCGCCGATCCTTTAGTCGCAGTTATTCTACATCGACCATTGCGTCTTACTTCGCTGAGAATCGTTATTTTTTTCCTCTCTGGAATCCGACTCAGCTCTGAGTTGATGAACGCTGCGGTTCTCAACGCGACTCCGATCATGAAAATGATCGTGGAAACACGGTAACCGCGCTCGACGTAAGTGAACTACACGGATTATTCAAGGGGAGCCTCGAGGAATTGCAAATGCTCCAATGCCCCAACAAACAGAACCGGCTTCGTGAAATCCAATCTCGATGATTGGGTTGACAATGAACCTTCGCCAGCGACAGCTCTAACTTGAAATTAACTTCATGTTTGGAATTGTGCGAGTGGCCTGGTTCAAAGTTCGAATAAGGCCAGAAAATTTCTATCCTCTGTAGACGAGCGTGCAAGCTCGTCATTCGTAAACGAGGATTTAATTGAACATTGATACGCTGGGCCGATCTAAAAGAAAAAAAAGAGAGAGAAAGAAGAAAATAAAGAAAAAAAACAATCTTCGTGTAAGATTGAAAATATCCTTTGTACATCGAGTCGTTTGGTATTCACGACAAGATTTATTTTCTCCTCGGCGATGTTTTCCCTTGTCACAGCGGATCGGGAAATAATTGAGGATGCCACGGAATAAAGAAGATTGACTACCATCGGAGGGAATAATGCTCCAAGAAATTTGATACGAAATCTTTTTTTTTATTGCCTTGCAATATCGCTCCTCCCGTTTAAGGTTGAAGTTCACGTTTCGCGGCTGAAAAATGTTTTGCCAGACACGATTCTGTTTAACCTCTGGCTCCATTCAGCTTGTAACCAGCATTAAATCAATTTCGAGAGACATCTTTCCCGGCGATAATGCGGAAAAGTTTGACATTTGTATACCGAGAACTTGAGAAAAAAGCTCACGTTCCGAATGAATCAATGAATGAATCGACGAATGAAAAACAAAGTGCGATAATGTGCAAAGTGCCAGCAACCGGCGGCGTGGTGATGCGAAGAAACAGCAACGTTTGTTAACGGACGTGAACGAACGATCGCGGCGGGCGAATGGATATCTAATCGATTCAATTAAATTCCGAGCGGCGTGCAATGCATATTTATGTTTCACGATGCCAGACAAATGAATTTGAATTTTCAACGTCTCTGGAAATTTTGCGAGTAACCGCGCGAGTTTCCGGTCGCGACCACTAAAACAGACAGATATTGCGCCGTAGCATTCGGCAAATAAACCGGCTGTTTGCGCAATATCGCGGGGTAATAAATTTTTTTTCCTCGTCTCTCGGCATTTCAACGCAGAGAATGAGTCGCGCGTTCGTTTTCGCGCATTTCTTTTCATTTCATTTTTTCTGTGCGATACACACACACACACACACAAACAGGATTTTTTTCTTTAGAAAGCCTTCTCTCGAAGAGTGAAACAAACGCTGCACTCAATTGAACGCGTAATTACGAGTAATTTCAGAGAGACACGACTACTGACACGACACAGAACTGTATAAATAACAATCAACGGTGTGCTCGCGGTGTGTATACGGCGTAGACGAAATGTAATGAGCAGAGAAAGAAGAGAGCGCGCGGTTTTTTATTTGATTAAGCTCTGCAGTCGCAAACGTACAAAGAACAGGTAGTTGTGAAACTCCTGCGGGCGATGAGAATTTTCCAACTTGTATCACGCAATAAAATCACGACGAAACAACGCAAAAATAAAAACGCGGAGAACGTTGGATAAAAAGGAACAAGTCCGAATGCCGTATTATCAGGAGGAAATGAACGACCAACCCTCTGCCCGGTATTCGGTATTTCCTGTTTATCGTGCCCCGTTTTTGAAACTTAATTAACAGCGTAGTCGCACGCGCGAGCAAAAAAATAAACGCGAGTCTAATTTTATCGTACGCCTGAAGCGCACATACGTTATATCGCCCAACAAGAATGCAACTATAGAAGTATGGAATTTCAAGGGAAATCTAAATCCACGTTGCGTGGATCGGTGACTATCGTTCGATTTCGTTTCACTTCCGTTTTTCATGCATAACCGATGACACGATAATTTTCTTTGATATTTCACAAGTCCTCGACTCATCGATCATCGCAGCAGAATCGACCTTTAGGTAAAAACGTAAAAATAACTCCTTTATCATGAAATGCCTACTTTTAAATACTACTTCCCTTCCTGATTTCCCTTTCTTTGTAACGCGCCGCGACGCGTTTTATTTTTAACGAAGGTTTCGATTGTCCCGAACGCCCATTCACACTGAAAATCAATAACGGTGGCCGGCGTTGTAACAAAACGCCGGAAACTGATAAGATCCGCAAACAGCCATGATGTTCCTTTCGTGCGCACGTATATTTCGTACTTATTGTATAAAAGCGAAATTCTTCGCGGAAGAATTTCGAGAAACAATTCGTTTTACCCGTTGCAAGCTACGACGTGAAGTGACAGCGGTGAAAAATTCATAGGATACGAAAAAATTCTCGACCCCTCTCCGTCGAGGGAGCGAGAAGCTATTAAACATTTCAAAACTCTTCACAGCCGGCGGAGTTTCGTCCCACCGGAGCCCGGAAGAAGCTCTAGCGCCGGGTAAGACGATTGTCAACCGAGAAAATGAGAAGAATGAGGGTAAATCGATTAACCTACCGTCGCGTTGCCTCGGTTCAAGGTGTATGACGCTCTGCTGCATCAACGTGCGATAATTGCTTCAGCAAAAACCGAAGGAAAATTCGGTCGTCATTGTCCGAGTCGAACGATTTCCCCCCAATTTGTGATATCGATCCTAAATGTATCACAACGTCGACTTCGAAATTGTTTGAAGAAATTGGAAAGTGGAAAGAAAATTCAGATACTGTTCCTCCCGATATAACATCGTATATATATTTTCTTCAACCGAGTCACTTTCTCAAATCATCAACACTGAAACTAGAAACCAAAATGGTTAAAATGAGCAATTTATAATTTTTGTTAGACACTTTACACATGTAAAACAGTGTATTTTTAAAGATTTAAATAATTTTTCGTATAAGTTATTGTATACTCCACTATATTGGTCATTTCAACCACAAGTTTTTCTATTTTTTGGACTTCAATGTTTCCGATGGAAATTGTATGCTTTGGGAAATCAGTGGAAAGGACGGCTCGCCACTTTGCAATCTATCTCCCTGCTGAAATTTTCCCAAAATTCCGTCGCAGAAAAGGCCACTCGTTGAGATCAATCGGAAGAGGATCGATGAATGATAGAATCGTGGTGGAATCGCGTCTAAGGTCGCGAGCGGCCCACAATCACGGGGCGTATCAGTGAGAGCGTCTCTCGTTCTGCGCGTCACGCTATTCGCTGGCCTGAGCTGCGGGGCGCGTTCAGTCTGCTCCAAGCCGCGATTGCGACAACTTGCGCCGCGACCGGCTACCGCGAGATAAAAACAAACCAACCACCTCGCGAGATATCTTACCGTCAAAATCCAGAAGGGAATAGATACAGAAAATAATCACCAATAATAAAAATCTCATCTTCGATCGGCAGCAAGTTAGTTAGTTTCGTTCGACTTTCGATCGTCTCCCGAGGCAAAGCCGAGGCAGTGCGTCTCCGTTCGCGAGAAATCCCTTTGCCAGTCCGTGAGCTAAGATCATTTTGACATATGATACCAACGGAGAAGCGAGACACCTCGCGATCGTACTCCTTGGTGGACGTGAACACGTTACCACCGTTCTCGTACACGGAGGTAAGTCTCGACTTACTTGGCACGTCGTCTCGTCGTCGAGCAGCTTGTCTTCTGCATGCCTCTTTCTCGCCTGTAATTGATTTTTCCCGGCCAGGAAGTTGTTCGAGCAATCGCCAGTCGACAAATGAGACTCTCATAACGGGCAGTTGTTCTCGCGTTCGTTATTTCGGAATTTCACCTTTGGGAATTCCGATTCCTCGTTTGTCTGTCCCGAGCAGAGATACGCGTCTGATGTACGTGTTTCAATCGCGCGTTTAATTATCGGACCAGCGTGTCAGGTGACACAGAGAGCGTCATTCTCTTTCGGAGAAAAAAAGGAAAGAAGAGAAAAGAAAGAAAGAAAGAAAGAAAAAAAAGGAAGGAGCGAGGGATTTGATTACAAATGGGACAATTTCTAAATGGTCTAACTACGTTTCACGTCGAAAACGGATGGCTTCAGTGACATAGAACAGAAGATCGATTGTAACAATAGCGACACTTGGTGTTGACTTTTCGCGGGAATGCTATTGACACGAGAACGGAAACGGAAAGGAGTAAATAATTCAAACGAGCTGGTTGAACAGCCTGCAAAGCACCGACGTGATTAAACTCGTTCTTTCGGCGCTCGGCAGGAGAAAAATCCGGGACAAGCCACACGCTCATCCAAGCTGCTCCATGGAAAAAAAAGCCAAGCGCCAGCCGTATGATACTGTCCCATGCAAAAAGCCTCTTCTTTTTTTTTCTTTTTTTTTTTAAGATATTACGTAAACAGAAGAGACACGCTTGGAGCGTCGACGTTGTACCTGACGCTCATAAAAATCCTTGTCCCAATTAATGTTAATTTCCATTAATCGCGAATGTTCGTTTCACCCATAGGATGGGAAATTTTTGGGACAGAAATTTCGGCGCGCAAGTAGGTCAAGAACGTGAGCTTTTCGCGGCCCTAGAACGGTCTAGAGCATAGAGCGAGCAGAGGACAAACCAAGCCAGGCGAAAATTTCGCGTCACGAGATAAAGGGAGAGGGGAGCAAAGTAGATTCATCAAAGGAATTATTATAATATAATCCACGGATGCACAAATTAATTCACGAAACCGTGGCAGGTTCATTCTGAGAAATTCGTTTCGTTTCGCGATGCTGTAGCGAATTTGCAGAATATTCGCATTCGCTGTAATTTTCTCGCCGAATAATGAAATGGTGATTAATTGGATTTAATTGCTAAACGCACGCAGGGAATGTGCATCGGGTAAATAAAATTTCGTTTGCAGGGCGAAAGGTATACCCGTGTAATTATGTTGTAGCGGAAGGAACACGCGGATTTCAAAAGGGTAATCGTGCTGTGTTTATTGTTAACTTTTACCCATGCACGTTCTTTTGTACCATGCTCGCGCGTTAATTGCAAATTCCTGGCCTCTCGTGAAAAACGCACTGCATACTTTTATTGAATCGCTGCCCCTACATCGTGTTCTATATGTTCTTCTCTTCGTTTCTTTCTTTTTTTTTTTTTCTTTTTTAACGCAAATTTTTCTCTCAGGCTGCGAGTCTTTGATCATACTCCCCTGGTTCGATATGAATTCGCTTCTGAGAAGAGCAACACAACTTTCTCCCCCCCTCCCTTTTTTTGTATACAGCTGTTTGCATTTCTCATTCGGGATCTCGGTAGGATTCTCTTAATGAAATACACTCCCGTCGTAAAAATTTCTCTGCGACAAAGTTTGTCAGATGAAATTAAACGTCTATTTCTTTTTTTTTTTTTTTAGTCGCTCTACAAAAAGAACGATGTTAATGGTGATTAATATAGATATCATTTCCATCAACGATATTAGAAAATATTCCTTTACGAAAATATAAACCATGTACATTATACATGTACATATATCATTACATTACATACACGTATAATGATTTGAGGAAGCAAACTAATTGGCCCTTGAAAAAAATTCAACATTTTCATAGATGTCAGGAAGATGTAGGTAGGATTAATTTCACCGTTTTTGTTTGGTTCTTAATTAACCAATTAATTAACGTTCGTTGAAAAACGAGTCACGACGGAGAAGATGTCGCTGAATGGACAATCCTCCCGTCAAAAGGGACTCAATTCTTTCCTTCCCTTTACTAAACGTATTTTTAAAGAAAGTCTATTAACAAAACTTTGTTTCATCTCTTGCCGTGAAAGACTCGATGCGGTGAACCTTCGGTATTAACATTCATCAACATCCAGGACACGAATGCAATATCGAGTGGAACGTGCGCGACGAACGGGGACTGAGAGGTCCCCAAGGATTTCTAAGATTTTCCATAGCAAGCTTTAAAACGTCATTACCTCTTTTTGATGCGAATTTCAAAATCTCTCTCTCTCTCTCTCTCTCTCTCTCTTTCTATACATGTACATGTTCGTACGTTTCTTCGAAATGCTAGTCACTATGGTTCTCGGTAAATGTGTATTACTCGGCATAACTCGGCTAATTTGAAACACACGGTGTACATAATTGTCAAAGTTCCAGTTCCGCGTACGTTCCATTAATTTCGAAACCTCCGACCCCCTCGTACGCGGAATCGTATTTACCTACGTTTGAAGACGTGTTCGGTAACCGATCTTGCGTCGTTCTTCTCGCAGTGGTTCTCCGAGACGTTGCGCCGAAAAAAAAAACTACGCATTCCATTATTCATCGAGATTCCCGTGTGATAAACGTTAATTTCAACATTCCACGATCTGTTGGCTGTTCTACGACCCGCTGTTTTATGGACGAGCAGTGGGTTTGAAGCGCGACTCCGGCACTTTCGCGGCGCGAAATTTTTCATTTATATGCCGGAGGAACTTTTCGCTCGGAAGACAGCGCGCGTTCATGCAAACGTCGCAAGCCCGGACAGACGGGTATGTATGCCGCAAGCCAGGCCGCAGTCTCATTCGCGCGAGCTCGTTTAAATCCAAAATGATATCCAGCAACCTCGCGATTCGCGGCGGGCACGTCTTGCAGCACGGTGAGCCGGCTGACACGTGAAAGACGTACGCTACTGCGCCGCGCCTCGCCGCCGCGACACGATTTTTCGTTGACGTTTCATCGCGCCAATCGGCGGAATATAAAATAAGTGCATTACGTTCTATTTTTGTATGCATAATATCGACCGCTAACGTCGTATAGAGTCGGTCGCGTATTATTACATTTGCAGGTAGCAAACGCAAAAACGCGGAATCGATGCGTCGATGCAACTGAAATTCACTCGTTTTCTGGTTTTAAGCAGCTTAAAATCTGACCCCGAGCGGAATTGTAACGTTTGACGCTCTCGGTTGACAAATTACTATTTTATTTCGACGAATAATCGATAGCGTTGTTTTCCCCGTGTGTTTTCTCCTTTCTTGCGAAAAGGCCGAAAGTAGCTAAATTCGGGATTAAACTGCACAGGAGAATCACGTCGATGTAATCGTGTTCATGAACTCGAATAATTTGGACAATCGGATGGAGCGCCATTATTAAGCGTAAAACTCGCGTTTAAAACACGTTAGAGGGTGAATCTCTCGAGCATTGTGCTGCACAATCTTGCGTACGCAAGCAAACTCAACCTGCACCATCCTTGCGCAATTAGCGGCCGACAAACGTTCGTTGCAGACCCATCAGCTTTTGCTCTGTATTTCAGAAACTTTAGTACACGAGCAAATAGCATGACTCGGATGTTCAGAGCCGTACCCTTCCTTCCCCTAATTGTTTTTACGTGGCAAATCAGTGCGGTAGGCGAACTCGTGTTCAACCGTTGCATTGTACGTAATTCCCGCCCGTCTCAGGTTCTCTTTCTTTGGCCGAAAATTCGCGAACGACGCTCGTACGTAAGAACGGAACTAATTGAAAACGCAGCGAAAACCTTCTCTGTTCTTTTCATTATTTGCCATAATGGCGCAAGTCATTTGCATCCTTTTTCACGGTTTATTCGTACTTGAAAATACAAATGTGCTATATATCGCTCTAGATATACAGATCCAAAAAGATTGGGACCAAACTTAGACTATGTGTTACTGAGGTCAAATAAATGAAGAGAAAGTTCATATAAACTTTTGTCCGAAAGTGCGTTATTGAAGAGATATAAACTTTTAAAGATATTTATATTTTATCGTGAAAGTTGTAAGAAATGTTCGAAAATTCCTCCTTCTGCAAGAATGCAGGCTTCGACTTTGTCGAATCAGTGATTGTCAAACTCTTTCAAATATTCCATTTGTAGTGGAAGTAATAGTAAATGCATTTTGAATACATTCCCAAAGTTAATCTTCTGTTTCTATCGTATTTTTATGAACCAACTCTTTTGCATGACCCCATAAATATCCCTAAAAGCGCTTGTATCTTTTCAATAAAGCATTTTCGGACATGAGTTTATATGAACCTTTCTTCATCTTTTTGACCTCGGTGACACATAGTCCACGTTTCGCCCCAACATTTTTTGAACACCCTCTATTTAAATATTATAATTTGTTGATGTTTCATCTGTCATTTTGAATACTAAAAATGAAAATTCCTGAAATAAAAAAGATAAAGGAATAAAATACGCATTTCTCTTCGAGTTCATTCTATTCGCTCGATTTTCAACATTTGGGAAATTAACGGCGATGAGCAGGTTAATCTTTGTCGGAAGCTTAACAGCACTCGCTTTCGGTAAATTAAACCGTTCTTTATCGAACGACTCGCTCCCAAGTCCGACATCGCGCACCACTTTCCGTCTTCGCGTTGCCTAAACGTTCGATTCAACGGGGAATTCACGGAGTTACGGCGCATTTCGTTATTCCAGAATCCTCGGAACGTTGTGGAAACTTCGCAGAAGTAAGGCCGAGTTTCGGCTCCGCGTAATTACGTTCTCCGTTCACTTGAGATATTATTAAGGTAATTGCGTGTCGACGCATTCCCGTATTCCTTATCGCTTGTTATTCAGCTCGGTGGCGCGCTGTTTCCGCGAAGCACCGTTGCTTTTTAAGCGATAATTTCCAACCGAAGAAATACATCTTCGGCAGTGTTGTTTTCGCTGTTTCATGACGCCAAT